ACTTATTCTATGAATGGATGTTAGCAAGTAACTGTGATAATTTACTGAGTGCCTGGGAGTTCTCATCACTTTAACCAACTTCCAGAGTCTAAGATCTGCGCTCCAGTTCCAGTACCCACCACAAGCTGATGCACTTGTACTCTTGGCTCGCTTGGACTTTTGCAAACTGGAAGTTTCAAACTCAGACATCAGTAAAAAAGTTATGCTGGTAAAATATAGCAATAGATTTGAGCATCATAGGGGGGTTTTATTCTGGAAGAAAACAAATTCTCTATTTACACAAAGCAGTTTAGATGTAATCCTTGGCAATCTGTTTACAGGATTTATACATGATGATTGTTTTCTCTGCCTTGACAATGCAATGAATGCTCAGTTAACAGCTTAAGCCAAGTGAGCCTCTAATTGAAACCAAAGAATATTGCTTTCTACATTCCTAATGATTTTCATCTCAGTTGCATTGTTTCACTTTCACAGTTCTTATTACACCATCAACACTTTCATTTTTATTTTTATCATAGTAAAGCTCAGTAAAATGTTCAGTAATTTTCCACACACTGGCATACTGAAACTAAACTGTTGACTGCAAATCAGTCCTATTACACATGATCCATGATCCTGCTAATAGATAAAATGCTCAAATACTAAATTAGGAGATCCAAAACTTTAAACAGCCAATATGTAAACAAAAATAAGCTTATACAAAGCTGTATAGTACCAGCATTGTGTTAGGTAACTTAAAACAAATTACAGCAATATTTTGAGAAAAAAATTAAACTTGGAACAAATGTAAAACTGAAAAATAAAACTTATGATGAAGATAGAGCTTTTATCTTCCAAATTTAACCTTGTTATACTTCAGATTTGTTAAAGTTTTCAGTCTTATAAACCCCTAGGCTGTCCTGCCTATGAGACTCTGTGATTCAAATAACCCCCTAAAGCCATTAATAGCTTTGATAATATATGGCCTCAGGCATAAGTACTTCTGTTAGTGGGAGGTCTCTTTTGAAAAGCCCCTGAAGCTTCCACCTACACCCCTTAGGCAAAGAGTCTTTAATTACCTGCTTATCCCATCACTCTTATCTGGTTCCCTATTTTTCAAATTTGTTCCAGATTCAGAATTACTTTTACTTAGAGTGTCTCCATGGCAACACATATCCATTTCATCTTTACTTAGAGAAATTGACAAAGAAATATATACAAGATCTCAACTCTCATTCCTTGATTCATTTGTTCATCCATTCATTCATCCCAAAAAAGATGGTTAAAAATAATAACAAATAACAATATTACCATTTATATGGAGTACAATTAACCATTATATAATGTAATACTGATATGAATTCCAAGAATGGACAAACTATTTCTCTTTTACAGACAGTAAAATCTCTGTTTTAGAGACAAAGCAGAATTAGGAGTTGAAATCAGGCTTCTTGATTCTAAATACTGTTCTCTCAATTCTTCAGTTATATTGGGTAATTCTGATCAAAAAGAAGGATGCAAATGTTAGCAGAATTTGACAGATATGGCCCGTTTAAGAAAATATTGGTTGACAGGAGTGATGCAGGAGTGATGAATTACAAGATAAACACAGATATATACCCAGTCCTTTCAAAATTCATTTAGCAAGCATTTATTGAGTGCTTACTATGTGCCACATTACTCCAAGTACAGATAATACAGTTTGAAAAGGAATGTATGACCACTTGCCCTTGCAGAGTCTACATTTTAGAGAAAGACAGAACACGGCAATAAACATCTGTTCTTTCAGGTAGTTAGTTGCAAGTGCTACAAAGAAAAGTAAATCAGAAGCAGAGGCTTGGAGGAAGGCATTCAGGGCCTGCTGCTGTTTTATATCAGAGTGAAATGAATAAAGGAAGGAATGTGGTGATCAAGTGTATGGACTATGAGGGGAAGAGAGATCTTGCACTTCAACAGGAATCCCAGGTGTCAGGAACACAATAAATGACCATAAGAGTGGTAGGAGATGGGTTCACACAGGCAGAGCAGAGATCAATCCCTATGCAACATTGAAACAGTGACAAGGTTGAATTAAAAATATAGGAATTCATTGATCAGGGCAGTGATATGATCTTAATCAGTTTCTAGAAAATCACTGCAGTTAACTGAAAAAAAGGGGTGGAGTAGAAGCCATAAGACTGATTAGGAGTCTATTGCAGTAGTGGAGGGGAAAGAAAGGTAATTAATGGTGATTTACATAGGAAGATAATGGTCAATGTGAAGAGAATTGTGAGCTTCAGGATGTATTTTTAAGGAAGAGCTGACAGGATGAATGTGGATGGAAATATGAACTCAAAGGTAAGAAAGAGAAATTGAGATAAGCCTTTGTTTATGGCCTAGGAATGGGGTGGATAGTGGTGATATGTACTGAGATAAATGAAAGAGTGGCTGCAGAAATATTTCTAAAGTATTGCTTTGGGCATCATTGCTATAGAAGAGACATTGCACAACTCAGGGTAGAAGTTATGGCTAGAGATGAACCTTCAGCAGCTATAATGTATAGAGGAAATGGAAACTGTGATCAGTGAAGGATGATAGTTAGAAAGAAAACATAGCCTAGGACTAAGTCAGAGGATTTTCGTTTTTAAGTTTTTACCAGATCAGAAGAAGGAGAATGACTAATCTTATTCACCCACAAAAAAGAAAGAAAAGAAAAGAAAAGAAAACAACATTATGAGTGTGTTACAGAAGAAAACCAGGAGAGTATCCTGAGGGCCAAGCTAAGATCAACAGGAGACAGTTGCTCACCCATTGAGTAAAATACAAATTAGGGTTTGATGGTGCAATAGCAAGAATATTCTGGTAGCTTTTACACAGTCATTTCAATAGTATGGTGAAGATAAAAGTCTTATAAAATGGGTTGAGGAGAGAATGGAGGAAAAGGGAATAGCTTTTAACTATAGCAGCATGGTAGGAAGATTTATAATGCGCAGAGCAAAAGAGTTAGTTTCTGGGTTAACTAAACAGAGTTCTAGATCAAAAGCTGATTATTTCATCTTTTCAGACTTGAGTTTTTTAAAGACTCTAACAAATACATATGTGGAAGCATAGAGTGAAAAAGTTGTAAAAGAAAGTATTTGATGGCATGGGAAACTATGGAGTACTGAACAGGGAAGTCAGTGAGATTCAAGAGATAACTGCAGCATTGAGGGTCCATAAATGTGGTTAGCTAGGTGAGGGGGAAGATATACCAAGTGATTCCACTAAGAGCATATTACTTTAGTTGACTGGACTGGGAGAGAGATTGGGACGGTGAAATAGTGGGAAATTATAGTTAACTATGAGCCTACGATGGAGTCAAAGCTAATGAAACTAACTACATCTGTTTGCTGACTTAAGACAGTGGGGAGAGTTTTGAAGGATTTTTGGTAGAGAAGTAACATATCATACTATAACTTTTAAAAGATCAACTTAACAGTAACTTGGATAATATTTTATATGGAAAATATGTCCGGTACTAAAAGGCCATTGAGGTAATTAATGCAGTATCAAAAAATGAGAATGAGGTGAGGTAACCATGGTAAAGATGGAAAAGAAAAGGCTCTCTCAAGTGTTTTCACTTCTCTCAGGTTCAGTGCTTCATGAGACATCTTTTTTCTCTTATATTTGGAGTAAAGCTTTAATAATTTCTTCCCTTAGCATGTTATTCTCAAACCATGCAGAAGTTTTTACTTTTAAATTCTTTACGACTCATTTAAAATAACTTTGTTTATAACCCAATAAACATATATTTATAAGAAAATACAACAAAATGACATTCTCTAAAAATATTACTACTACACTATTAAAAAGTTTATACAACTTTTTTTTAGTAATTGTCTTGACTTTCTGTATTTGGCTTTGGAAGTGACACAAACTGTAATTTGTTTCTTAAAAATTGTTATTAAAACAAACGTGTCTTTGTTATGTACCAGCATAGGAAAACTAGGATAAATGTAAAAAACACAGTGCCTTTAGTACCTAAACTAATACTATTTGTAGTCAAAGGAATTATAGCTAAAGGAGCCAATGAAAGAGTGTTTTAATTAGTGTGCTACCTTCTTAATGTACATTATACTCTGTACCCATTTTTCATAAAAGTATTTTAGAAGCCATATCACTGCCATTGCACAGATAAGTTACCTGCTTTTCAGAGAGTTTAAGGAACATTTCTAAAGCAACACAATATTTAAGGGTTGTGAGTTAGGTGGCCCAGAATGAAACTGTAAGTATTAGTTACATACAATTTTATTTTCAGAATAGTACCTTCTAAAAATTATAAAAGCCTTAATAGATTTCAGAGTAGGTTTATATTCTTGTTCTTTATTGAAATATTTGTAGTGGCAATAACTAGACTGGCACTGCCTATCTAGTTCCTTCTGAGGAGAAATATGGACTTTGGCGCCAGTCGTTAAGCATTCAAATGCCAGGTCCTCTTTTACTGTGTATCTGTTTCCTCAGCCTTGGAATAGAAACGAAACTTTCTCAAATTTCTTTGGACTGTTGGGAAGCTTAAATGAAGTAAGATATGTGTAGAATTTAGAAGAATGCCTGGCAACAGTACACTCTACATAAATGTTATGGTCATTCCATAATTATTACCATCATCACCACTACTCTTTACGTGAAGCTATAAGAATCATGAAGGAGAACATGCTAAATAGCTTCAAATAACAGCTCAAAAAATTCTATTTTTATGGCATATGTAGTCAATGAACTTTTTACTAATATAATTCAAATGATATTATATTATTGAGCTAATTGTTTTATGATTTTAGATGTGCCATTGTAAGATCATCCATTTATGCTGTGTAGTTATTTTCATTAAAGATTTTTTTTGTATAGAAAGACTTAGTTTCATTGTTCTGAAGAGTTTTAAAAATTAGTATGATTTGAATTGCTTTATCAGAGATAAAATCTCAAACAGATTTTATCTCTGACCTTTTCTCTTATTTTAATCCTTTACATTAAATTAACTCTCTCTCATTCTGCTTTACTTTTAGTCCCTTGTGGGGGAATTTTAACTAAGCGCAAAGGGACTATATTGTCTCCTGGATATCCTGAACCTTATGACAACAACCTGAATTGTGTATGGAAAATCACAGTGCCAGAGGGAGCTGGCATTCAAGTAAGGATATCTAATATTTTTCCTTTCTATTGTATATTTGAAATTAACATTTTCAGATCTGACAGGCTGAATATTATTCCTAAAAGTTTAGCAAATAGTTTTGACTGACATAGCTAAATTTAATAGGAAGATATTTCTTATTAATATTTTTCACCTGCAAGCAACCGAAAGCCAGTTCAAAACAGGATAAACAATATAAAAAATGTTTCCACACATAGCATGGAATCTTGGGTTAAAATAATTTAGAGGTCCAGTCAGATCATTCCTGACCCAGGTACATCCGTCTGTCTGCCTTGTCATCCTCAGCATATTGACTTTAATTCTTGGTTTTCCTTTCCTGTGGTCATGAGATGAACACAAAAGCTCTTGGCATCACAGTCTTAAACATCAATGGCCAACAACAAAAGAGGAATATCCCTGTCTCATATGTACTTTTTCAGTGGTTAAGACAACTTTTCAAGAGACCAGCAAGCAGACTTTCCCTCTTGTATTACTGAACAAAATTATAATCATAGTCATTCCTAAGTCATTCACTGAGCAATAGCCAAAAATGTATTATGGTTAGACAAGGAGGTTATCTTCCTCCTTTTCACTGAACCAAGCCAGGTTTCAAAGATGTCAAAAGAATATGGACTGAAGGTGTAGCTCAAGAGGTAGCCCTGTCCATGAAACTCTGACTTCAAAACCCAGTACAGCCAAAAAAATTTTTAAAGTGTAAGTATATGCTTACATTTTGTCTATTCTGAAATTTTTCATTATTTTATAAAATTTGGAGATCAGTAATAAATTATTTTTTATTATTTTAGAACTAACAAGGACTTTAGGATTATCTATGGTTCTGATTGTACAGAGTGTCTATAATGAGATGATGTTTTTAGAACTCCATTTCATTGTAAGAATAGGAAGAATACCCTAGACTGTCTACATATTGATATCGGCTTACTCATTTATATCTCATCTTAAATTAATAAAAAAATCTTTGCACTGTCTGTAGCAAGACTATATTGCATATCACTTACCCTAGGCAAACACTATTCAAACTGGACATATATCAATGACACTATAGTGTCTTTCACTTAGAAAGTACTTGATTTAAGGGTTGTGCTTAGAAAACCAAATGTGAGTTTAGAAGAAAGTTTAGCAAACTTATATCATGTGGCATGTATTGGACTTTTAAACACTCCAAAGGATCATGAAGCACTTAAGAAATGACCCTTTATATGAGTGCTATTTTTGTACATATTACTAAATCAGTATAATTCATAACAGGGCACACACATATAATGTATCACTTACATGAACTTTACTTATGTTACTACTCCCTGACTTACAAGTTTAAAGCAATGTTTTATTTCGGGTGAGAGACACAATAGATTTGGGACTAAGGGATTATATGAATGTAACTGAGTAAATCAGATATGAGATGAAATAGAAGAGCTACTGGAAAAAAGAGAGGAAACATTTGCAATTCTGAAAAATTACAATAATTTAGATGATTGAGAAATCTTTGGAAAAAAACCTCAATAAATCAGTTTATTATATTAATATTTCATGAGAAGTTTATAAGGGGGGATATTAATTTGTTTACCTATTTATTTTAGCAGAATATATTAGAGGGACTGTTCTCAAGAGGTTACATTCAACAATAATATCAAGAAAAGAACAACCTCTATATGAAGAACCATAGAAGACATGATGGTTACATATGTATCAATTTATAACACTATCATTTTGAGTTCATGTAATTTTGTAAACAAAACAGAATGATACTTGAACACCTGTATGATAGATGTCTGGTTTTAATGACTGGAAATACATTACCTCATAAAGCTATACTCTTGCCATGCTGGGCAACTCCCCCAAAGTTCTTCTGCTTGCAAAGTTAGTAGCTCACTCTCAAAATCTTCACTTTGCTCTTAGTTGGCTTGCTATCATTGTTAAGTGTTTGATCATTTACTTCAGTCTCTGAGCAGATATCATAGCATTGTCAGGTCACTCTTCTGGTCATTTCATACTTCTACATTCTCTATGATTTTATTATGCCAATCTACATTTGCCCTGAAACCTATTTGCAAATTGTATTAGCTTCCTATGGCTGCTATAACAGATTACCATGAACTGTATAGTTATAACAGGAAATTATTTTCTCACAGTATTACAAGCCAGAAGTAAACACACAGCTTTAGGACACATATATTAAGATGCTAATAGACTCATCCACCCTCAGGCTCTGGAGAATCCTTTCTTTGCTTTTCCCAACATGTAGTAACTGCCTGGACTCCTTGGCTTCTAGCCCTGTCTCTCCAGTTTCTGCCTCTGTGGTCACATTGCCTTCACCTCTTTTTTATTTTCTTCAAATTTCCTACTGCTTCTTTTTCTCTATATTAATATCTTCAAATTAAACACATCTGAAAGACACTTTTTCCGTATAAAGTAATGTTGAAATTGTCTTTTCACTTTTGTTTTCTTCATCCTCTACAGTGCTATACTTAAAGTGTAAGGTTTTTTTTTTTTTTAATAAAGTCTCACTATGTACCCAGGCTAGCCTAAAACTCTCAGTCCTCCCAAGTGCCAGGATTATAGCTGTGAGCCACCATATCCACCTTTAAAGCATAGTCTTGATTTTATTCCTCCTCTCACACTTTCTACAATCTTTAGTGGAATACTACAGATAAAGTTATACCTTTAAGGGTATAGTAATTACTTTGCTGGTATTGTCTTTAACTATTTAATGTCTCTCTCTTAGCTAAATATATCTGAGTCCTTAACATACACCAAACTCTGAAGGTCTTTAGGCATATTAATTGATTTTTACCATGAATCTATGAATTGTATACCTTAGTTACAATAATTTATGTAAATTCAAAGCAGAGAGAGAGCAGTATTCCTAATGTTATTTGTCAGTAATTAGAGGGAACCAAGAACTTACAAATTCAGGTTTTCTAACTATGAGGTCTTTTGTATTTATCACTAAGTTCTATTCTTTCTAACTTTTCTGGGTTTTTTTCTGATTTTGAATGCATATTTCCTCTTATGCAAACAACCTCTACTGTGGCTAAATTGGTTTACTGACGGTTCAATAAATCCAGTTTATGATTGGCCTCAGCTGCATTTTTGCACACTTAATAGTTTCCTTCAGTGGAAAATCTCTCATTTCATTAAGCTCAGCCCAAATATCAACTCCTGCATTAATCTTTACATTTTGTAGTTGATTACAATCTTATCTTTCCCTGAACTGAAGAAAGATGGTTGTGTTGCAGTCATACAGCGTTAATTCTGGTCCTCCTCTTGTTCTGGAACATTGCCAAGAGGTCTAATGCCAGTCATGCAGGCAGGATATCCATTGCCATGTGGTACTCACCCTGGAAAAGAAGCATCAGCACTCCCTTGACTGGAAGAATTATGATGGACTGTTTTGCAGATAAGAAATGTTTAATGAATGGAATTGTTGCACACTAAGTAGTAAGTGAGTGTAGTGGCCACAATTCTAACAGACTTCAAATCAAATAATTATTTTAATAAAGCTATTCCTTTTTCTTGTTTAAAACTGCAAAATATTTAATACATGATGAGTATGACTGTATCCACTGTTGTGAGATTCTTGTGGGCTCTTGCAAAGGCTCAAGCTGTGCGAACTGATGTGCAACAAAGTAACACATGTCTCTTTCTTTAAATAAAATTTAAAAGACATGAGAGAATTAAGCCCCAGCATTTTCCTTCTCAACTTGAGGGACTTTCACAGTGATTTCTTTATTATGACTCCATTCATAAAAATAATCTTTAAATCTGCATCTAGTCTCTTACAAAGTATTATCTTTGGCTGCTTATATTGATAATAATGTTGAATTTAAAAGGAGTTGAAATTGAATAAAGTTTATGCAAGAAAAGGAATTCAGAAATAAACCCAGTTATGTGTATTGTAAGTTTTTTTCTGCTTGTAGACCACACAACTAATTATTTCTATTAGCTAAAGTAAGCAAGAAAGATCAATTCCTGACAAGGATCTAACATTTCAAACCTAACAAAGTAGAACATGCACTGGAAATCCTAGCACTAGGTCATTCCAGTAACCTGAAGCTTTTAATAAAAAGACTATTCTGAGATAGTAACAGACATTGTCCATTTTACATCCATAACAAACACTGCTACGTTCTCCCAAAGGTTTTTCTCATAATAACCAGTTCATGTAGAACAAGGCATAATGGTGAATAATGGTTCTGTCAAAATCCTTTATGAAGGGTCACATTGAGGTGCTACAGGCTCCATGGTCTCTCTTCCAGGAGGGGAAGTATATGCTGAGTACATGTATCTGGCATTCTGACCATAAATTTTTACTCCACAGGTGCAGGTTGTGAGCTTTGCCACAGAACATAACTGGGATTCTTTGGACTTCTATGACGGAGGAGATAATAATGCTCCAAGACTGGGAAGTTATTCGGGTAAAGAAGAGATCTGAGTTTAATTAAAACTAAGCCATAGTTAGGAGTGAATTTTTTAGAATTCCAAAAAACTCTGACTTGAATTTAATTTGTCATTTATAAATTATACACAATGAACCGTGTTTAGAAGCCTTAAAGGTAAAAATTGTCAACGTTGCTGCTAAATATCTGATAATATTATATCCACTTAATTATTTACCAATGCTTTTATGTAAATGGTAATATTTTCACTGAATTTTGGCTCAGGAATAATATGTGTGCCATTTCCTTAAATATGTAAGATGAACAATAATAATTAAAAATTTGATTGTGTTTGATAATTATGATATTTCTACTGAATAGAATGATAGGTAGTCATTACAATAATTACAGGCACTGCATAATATGATCCATGGTATTAGATATTGTTAGGTGAGAATGAAGGAAATACAAAATTATTTCTATGAAATGAATTGCTAAAGACAGTATCTACATATGTAACAATACCAGAAAGAAATACTAAATAAAATAGACTGATTTGTTATGCAAGGTGTTGACTGACTTTACTACTCTTCTATAGATTTATTAAGGTTTTAAAGATAATTTATGCAATAATCTAAAAGCTTCTTTCAACATATAGAAATTGAAGTCAACAGTTTTACTTTATTTTTTACTTTTTAAAGTCTAGAAATATAAATATAAGCATAAATAAGCTGTAAACTTACACATTTCAAATAGTATACTGATAATCTTTAATGATCTTGAGCTTTTAAGAGATTTTTAAATAAACTATAACCAATTATTAGAATTACCAATAAAAAAGATATATTTAGAGAAAGAATTATTTGATATTTTAGATATAGATTCAGACAAAAGAAGGAAAAAAATCTCAAATTTTTGACTATGTTTTCATTTAATCCATTAAACTTTTGTAATAATAAATAGCAAGATAATAAAAGTGGTTAAAAACCAGCAATTGATTACCAAGTGGTAACTCTGTGTGAGGCTTGTCATTCATTTTCTCATTTGCTCTGTCAAGTAGTCCTAGAAGTGATTGAAGTTTAGAGAGATTAAGGTGCGTGAGGTTGTACAGCTCGTGTTAAAATGAGTCTGGGACCCAGCTGGTGCAACTCCAGAGCCAGAGCTCTTAATCACCAAGATCCTGGAAGAGACTTGGGCAGGTCCAAAAACCTTTGAGTTTGTTATCCCCAGCTTCAGTGATTGTAGTTAAGATACTAAGGAACAGAGGGAGGTCAGGAGAAAAAAAAAAAAAGGATTGTTCTGTAATGAATTTTTCCTGCTTTCTTCTAGAAGGCTTATGGAGTAAAATCCACAGACTTATAAAGAGCAAGTGTGAAGAAACTACTTATTGAGTATTTGCAAACATGGTCAATTCATATGTCTGGTGAATGATATATCTCAAAACATAGAATTGACAGTTATTCTCATATTTGGTATTTTAAACTGCTTGAGTTGGAGTCTATGGCTCACTAATAAGGGGAAATAAATGACTATATCTCCAAACCTATATAAATTATGCCTTAAAAGTAGCATACACATTTTAAAATTAATTTTATTATTAGCTCATGTAGGGGATATTGAAATCTATGTGAAATTCAAAACATTTTAAGTGATACATAAAACTGCTTTTACTTTTATAACTCTTCTTACTCCTATTTTTAGGTATCTGTCTAAAGTTATCTCAAAGGTCAATTTCCTTGGAGACAGTCAGAAGCAGAACAATGAAAGAAAATTATGGGAAAAATCTTTCTGTTAAAAGATTTTGAAAAATATTTTGACTAATATATACTTTTAAGCATAATGTATTGGCTGAATTTGTAGTTTACTAACTTAGTTCTACCATAGTCTTTATTTTGTGATCAGTGACCTGCTTTTTCAATTTCATTTCAGGAACAACAATACCCCATCTTTTGAATAGTACATCTAATAATTTATATCTAAATTTTCAATCAGACATCAGTGTTTCTGCAGCAGGATTTCATCTTGAATACACAGGTAAAAATAATGTCATGTGAGGACATATTTACATTACTTAAAAATACTTTTTGTGAATATAGAAAGTGTGACAACTTTGCCAAAAAATCTTATTTAAGATTATTTAAGATTTTGAAGTGTTCCTCCAAGTCAGTTACAAGAATATATGCATAAAATTCTCATGATTTTTACCAAAATTTACATGCATTTCTGTTTTTGTAGTGGTAAGAATCATTTACATTAGATCTACCCTCTAAACAATTTTAACTATATAATATAGTATCAATTATAACTCCAAAAACATAAAGCAAATATCTACAACTTACTTATCTTGTATAATTGAAACTTCACCCTTGTTGAGAAGTAAACCCCCATATTTACCTTTCCCTGGCCCCTATAAACCACCACTCTTCTCTGTTTCTTTGGAATTTTCTATTTTAGATCTAGCATGTAAGTGAAATCATGCAGTATTTGTTCTCTTGTGACTGGTTTACTTACTGCATAATGTCTTCAAGCCCTTTGCCCATTTTAAAATGATTGTTTTCTTGCTATTGAGTTGTTTGCGTTCCTCATGTATGTTGGATACTTAACCCTTTTTAGAGGCAGCTGGGTTATATACAGGGTGTGCAAATGTATGAAAATATTTTCTCTAATTTTGCAGGTTGCTTTTCAGTCTGTTGATTGTTTCCTTTGATGTGCAGAATATTTTTACTTTGATTTACTCCCACTTATCAGTTTTTGTTCTTGTTAACTGTGCTTTTGGTGTCATATCCAAAAAAATCATTGTCAAGACAAGTTTTATGCAGTTTTCTGCTGTTTTCCTCTAGGAGTTTTATAGTTCAAGGTATTACATTAATCAATTGTGAGTCAGTTTTTGAATATGTTGCAGGTAGGGTCCAATTTCATTTTTGGATATGATATACAGTTTTCTTAACACCAATCACTGACAAGCCACTCATTTTCTCCTTGCACATTCATGGCAAGATAAGCTTACCATATTTATGTGAATTTATTTCTGGGCCTTCTATTCTGTTCCTTTGGTCTATGTGTCTCTTTTGATGCTAGTGCCATATAGCTTTGATTATTTTAGCTTTGCAATGTAATTCTGCTTATTTATTTATTTTATTTGTGTTCTGAGGATTAAACCCAGGGCCTCATGCATGTTAAGCATGTGCTCTAACCACAACCTTTATAACGTGTATTTTAAATCAGGAAGTGTGATGCTTTCTGCTTTGATGTTTTTTCTCAAGAATGCTTTGGCTCTTCAGTGCCTTTTCTGTTTTCATAAACATTTTGTTATTGTCTTTTTAAATTTATTTTAAAAACACCTTTTTTGGTGGCTGGGACTGGATGTCAAACCCAGAATCTCACACTTTACTACTTGAGCCATGCTCAACACAGGATATGTGGAGATAAATATGTTGTAATTCCTACTTTGAAGAAACTGCAGTCTAGTAGAAATAAATAAAGCAAAAATACAGTGCTGTTCATCCATTAGTAGAGATACTTGCAGTACAGAGCATAATGGTAATAGGTCATCAGCTCCATTTAGGAACTGAAGGTAGTATTTCAAGTAGGAGGTAACACTTTTGCTAGGTTTAAAAAGTGAGCAGAAGTTTGACAGATAAGAAGGAGTGGATATTTTCAGTAGAACAAGCTTCATGATCATACAGAGCTATGCCATGTAGCCCATTAGGAGAATGCAGCTATTTCTGTAGGGCTGGCACTTAAAGTTTGAAGGAGCAACAGGAACTAAGGCTGCTTACATAGGCATAACTGCTCCTGAAAGGTATAAGACGGTGTCAGAACTTTGACTTCATGGTAGGTGATGTAGTTCAAAGGCAGCATGTTTTGACAGTCATTCATAATACAGGATATCAAATTATAGCTTGAAACTTTATTAAGTCTCTCGTGTACAACGGTATTGTGAAATGCCAAATATATCTTTTATTTGTTTAAAGTAAGCAATATAAAATCATTAAAACTTAATAACATTATTTATACAATTATAAGTAATTATAAAAGAAAAGAAGAGATTGGTATCTTGCTATCTCCTTTAGAAGGATGCCCTCAATAACCTGAAGACTTCCAGTATTTTTCAAATTGTTCTTTTGGTTAGACTCTCTTAAATACTTTTCCAAAAATAAAGGAAACTGTATTGCATCTTAATCAATTAATAATAGGCACTAACAATACATAGTAGTTTGCTTCTTATAACAGAGAATTGAAAGTTTGACTTGTTTTCTTTTTTTTTTTTTTGTGGTACTGGTGCTTGAACTCAGAGCCTACACCTTAAGCCACTCCAACAGCCCTTTTCTGTGATGGGTTTTTTCGAGATAGGGTCTCATGAACTATTTGCCTAGACTGGCTTTGAACCACGATCCTCCTGATCTCTGCCTCCTGAGTAGCTAGGATTATAGGCATGAGTCACTGGCTCCTGCCTGGATTTGTGTTCTTAAGAGAAAATAATACTAGTGGCTTTAAATCTCATAATTTTAGATCTTGCAAACAACAGATTGAACCATTTTCATTCATGATCTTTAAGTTAAAAAGTTACACTCTTCAAGTTAGAAAGTTACACATAGTGCCGAACTATGTACTGGACACTGATTACATCTGTAGGGAAATTGAAATGATAGAATTAGAAGATAAATAAAATAGCTTTCTTTCCTAGTTGAGTTAAAACTTTATTTACATGGAATATTTTCCCTTTATACTTGTGGCTATACGTCCAATTATAACATAACTATTTAGGTTTATAGAATAAGCCATCAAAATATACTAACATTTTCTAAAAATTAATTTTCTGAATTGAATTAAAAATATGAGAAAAACTTACCATTGGTAATGAATGAGCATAAGAAAAAGTGATATGTTAATGTATTTTATGTGTAATTGCTTTAAATAATGAAATTATCAACTCTTCTAATGGTGTAAAGGCAAACCAAAGGTAATGACATTTAAATTGTTAGCTTTAAATTCACATATTTTTAGGTAAATGTTCCCAAAGCAATGCTTTGTGTTCCAAACCAACAATTCTTAATAAGTATTAAATGCTTCTTTTCTTCCAAGAGACAAAAGGAAACAAAAAGCTAGATATCATGTTAAGGAATTTATTAATTATAATTTTCAGAAATCACAAGGTGGCAACCTAAAACGATGATCAGCAAATAATTTTAATGTTGTGTCAACAATCTAAACTGTGACACGAAAACACTTGCTGAATGCTCTCTTTTAATTGGAAAAAAGAATCCTAAAAACTTCTTAGATAAAGAAAAAATAACCTCAAATCTCAGCTTATGCTAATGTTGTAGTTTAAAAAGTCTGTAAAGGTGTAATAAATAATAATGTTATCAAATCATAGTCGGACAATGACTTTTTTTGATAAATAAATGCCTCAAAAGTGGTATGTTTGGTAACTTGGTGACATAAAAATACTCTTGTTGCAAATGTCATTTTTTAATCAAAGTCAGTGACTAACTTAAAATCAGAATTATAAATAGAAAAGTGAAAGGAGACTAAGAATAGATGAGACAAGAAAAAAGAAAACATATTTTGTTGACAGTAATAAAATCGCTGTCATAGGAAACCTAATGTTCTTTTACTTAATTAGTTAATTAAAAGACTTTGGAATATACTTCATGTTTTCAATCTATTTTCTAATTAATAAGGTCATTAACATAGCATTTGCAAACTACTAAGTTTAGTTGTAAGAGAATAGTAGAAACAGGTTGAAAAAGAAAATGTAAAGATTAAAAGTAAGACTTCACAGAATTAAAATGACTAAGAATTTTGGTCTGGTTTTTAAGGACAAACTTATGAAGGAAGCCCTGATAGCATTTTTGGCTGCCTTGTTAAAAACAGATGGACTCACTTATTGTGTGAATGGAGGACTGTGTAGAGCAGCTGTGGCTTGGAACACTGTCCAACAGGCCATCAGAAAGGTTGAAAGCTTGCTCAGGGCGCACACAAGGAAGTTACTTTCCAGGACTCTGCAAAATACAGCGACCACTCCTCACGCATAGCAGATGGGTTTTTTTTGGCATTCTTGGGCCTTGCACTTACTATGTAACTGCTGTGCCACTTGAGTCTTGTGCCTATTGCCCTTTCTACTTCAGTTGTTTTTCAGAGAGGGTCTCATCACATTTCAAAAAAGTGGCTTTCCTTAGTGGGAAATCTATTTTGTGCAAATTTAAGAATCTGTCCATTTGTTGTAGCAGATTATATTAACTAAACATAGAAATTTTATGGAACTTCCTTATGTACTCAGAAGTCCTTAAAATTAACGACGTATATATATATATATATATAGAGAGAGAGAGAGAGAGAGAGAGAGAGAGAGAGCAAAGAGCCTCAATAAGAGTCCAAAAATCATAACTGACATATAATAGTTGTGCATGTTCATGAGGTACAGTGTGATATTTCAATAAATGTGTATAATATGTAATGATCAGGTCAGGGAAATTGGTATAGCCATCATCTCAAACATTTGTCGTTTGTTTGTTTTGGGAATATTCAAAAGTCTCTGTACTCGCTGTTTTTAAACATACAACTTAATGTTGTCAATCATCTCCCTACTATTATACAACATTAGAAGTTATTACTTCTACTTTAGCAGCCGCTAGCTCTGTTTCCCTGTCTCCTCACTCCACTGTTCCAAGTCTCTGCTAACCACTGTCCCACTCCCTGCTTCTCTCAAGTCACTTCTCTTAACATCCACATGTAAGTGAGAAGGTGTGGTATGTCTTCTTGTGCCTTACTTATTTCACTTACTATAATGTTCCTGTATTTCATGTATTTTGCCACAAAATAACAAGTTTTAAACCATTTTTATGACTGGATATTATTTTACTGTGTATATATACCACATTTTCTTTATCTTATACCCAGGTTGATTTCATATCTTGGCTGTTCCAAGCAGTATTGCAATGGGGGTGAGATATCACTTGGACTTAGGGGTTCCCTTTTCTTTGTGTAGTGGAATTAAATTGGTAGTGGAATTGCAGGATCTTATCGTACCT